ACCTCTTCCCTCTCAATTGTAATTTGTTTGTATATCGCGGTATTCCTCCCAAATTTTTATATACACATCATCCTTTTCCATAGTGAATACAGATGCACGGTACTCATTGAAATCTCACTCATGTCTTCTAGCTCCACACCCGGTTTGCCACTTTGGTCCCGAAAGGGTCCACCTCTTGCACTGATTATCATTTTGCCCCTAGTCCAATTATGTACTTTTAGATTTTCCCTTATTTTTCCACCAGTGATTGTCATGTCCCCTCTTCACTTTCCTAATATATTTTTAATGTAACCCTCTGCACTTTCTACACACCTCTAGGTCTTCTGAGCCTTCGGTGTCTCCTAAAAGCTTACCTTTCTTTGACCTTATGACAGCATGTTGGCCCTACATTTTCACTATTTCCATTTTGAAGGACTCTCACTGCTCTGATGTAGAAAATAGTCCCAACCTCTCCAATCTTTCCTCGTATCTAAAATATCTCATCCCTAGAAGCATAAACAACTCTGCACCCTCTCCATTCATGTCTTGTCTATAGTGTACTACTTTAGCAGAGGTCTAATTAGTGTCTTATATAAGATCATTGTAACTTACTATATGCCGCTATTAAGATAGCCTAGAATATTGTATGATTTATTAACAATTCTACCTATCCTGTCACCTCTAATGACTTTTGGTATATGTACACCAGATCTCTTTGCTCTTGATCAATCTTTAGAATAGTATCCTTTATTTTATACTGTTCAGACTGAGCTGTAACAAGGGCCACAAGCTTCTGTCATGGGTACTCGTGTGACTAATCAAGCTGATTATCGACCCACTGATCCTTGGGCAGACAGGGTAGGATATCCCATGGAGTAATGGGGTCCAGTGTGCAGTATACTCTTCCTGTTCTTTCCTTCTCTGTCATTATTCTGCCTCATCATTAAGATGTTTGGACTCAAAGCATGATTCAACTTCATGGACAAGCAGTAGCAATTTTGAATGACCGGAAGCTAACTCCTTCCAGTAATTAGTATCAATGTTGTCATTTTCAAATTTCAAGAACAGCTTCATAATATTTTTGAAGCTTTTTTTTTGTCTTCCCCAGGAATGTTGATCACTTAAGGGTTGAGAAAACACAATTTGATGCGGGATATACTTTTTGACCATACTGACACAGTGCCAAGTTCATTGTAGCTAACTTTTGCAGGAGTCTTACCTAAATGTTGTGGAGCTATCTTCAAGACAGTCATGGGCATTTGCTTGGTAATTCTTCTCTTCAATTCAGATGACAGGACAGGGGCAACGATGATATGTTGCTACTGTTCTGATGTGTAACCATTGACCAAAAGCTGAACTGCACCAGTTACATAAATACTGCGGCTATAAAAGCAGATTGAAAATTCAACAGTGAGTAACTTTACTCCCTAAAGCTGTCACAATGAAGGCGAACAACAGTCAGTGTGAACTACACACAACATGCATGCAAAGTATTCTAACTTGGAGCATTATAAACTCCTTGCCTGTTCAGGAAGATGACAAGCAGTCATGGGTCACGTTAGATGGGCCTTAAACAGGTGAGATGGCTGTAGGGCAGCAGGTGTTCAACACAGGATTATCCTAGATAAGGACTTACAGACTATGTTGATTAGGGCAAGTTCTCAGAAGATCTGCTTTCTCCTATTTATTCACAGTGCTATCACCCCAATTGATGTTACTATTAGACAGTCAGATCCTAGAATGAAGGGGAAAATTACTGCCGATGCTGGAATCTGTATTGAAAGGAACAAATGCTGGGGATCATAGCAGGTCAAGCAGCGTCCCTGGAGAGACAGCAAGCTAACGTATCAAGTCTAGACGATTCTTCATCAGAGCTGACGTGAAGTGTGGATGGGGTAGCATTCATGCTATAGTTGGGACAGGGTGGAGTTTTTTTCTATTCATTTGTGGGATGCGAGCGTTGCTGGCTAGCTAGCATTTCTTGCCCATTCCTGGTTGCTCTTGTAGAGTGCTGGGGGAGAAAGCATGTTGATAGATCAGACTAAGTGATTGGAATGTGAGAATGGCAGAAAATTGTGGGTCTAAACGCCATGCCTGAAAGAACAGACAGGCCCACTGGGGTCAGGGGTGAGGAGAGTACACACGGTGACAGATAATGTAACAAGTAAAGCTCCGATGAAGAGTCATCTAGACTCCTCAATGTTAGCTTGCTCTCTCTCTCCATGGATGCTGCCTGACCTGCTGTGATTTCCAGCATTTGTTGGTATCATCCTGGAATGAAATTTGGCTTGCTGGATTTTTTAAAGTTATTGTGGTGGTCTTTCACTAAAACATTGGCACACAAGGCTGTAGATATTCTTTTGCAATAAAACAGGAATTTATTACACAAATTAAAAAGAAATCAAAGCAAGCTACCTAAATATAGAACATAATTTGAAAAATCTTAAAAAACACAGCAAAACAAAGTCTCATCCATTCCCCAAAATCATTAGTTGTGTTTCAAATCCAGATAAATTATTGATCTCTGTCAAATCTTTAGGTCCGACGTAGCTTCTTTTCAGTTCTGTCCTGTGAACTGGTAAGTCTTCTTCCATGATTACTCTCAAAATTGAATACAGAGAATGTGGGCTTCACTGGCTAAACCAGAAATCATTGCCCATCTCTAGTTGCCTTTGAGAGGGCGATGCCTTTCATTTGGTGTAGGTACACCCTCAATGCTGTTAGGGAGAGAGTTTCAGGATTTGACACACCAACAGGGAAGGAACAGCGATATATTTCCAAGTCAGAACGGGATTGGAGAGGAACTTGCAGGTGGTCTTGTTCTCATGTATCTATTGCTTTGTCTCGCTACTGTTAGTTGGTGATAAAGGGATAATTGCTTGAGTTGGTGAATGGGGCACTAATTAAACAGGCTGCTTTGTCCTGCATCTTGAATGCTATTGAAGCTGCACTCATCCAGGCCAGTGCAGATGGCAGACAGGCTCTCAGGAGTCAGGAAGTGAGTTACGCACTGCAGGATTCCCAGCCTCTGACCAGCTTGAGTAGCCACAATATTTATATGGCTAGTTCAGTTCAGTTTCTGGCCAGTTATAAACCTCAGAATATTGACAATTGTGCAATGGTAATTCCACTGAATGTCAAGGGGTGACAGTTAGATTCTCTCTTTTTGGAAATTGTAATTGCCTGGCACCCGCATGGCTCAAATGTCATTTGCCACTTAAAAAGAAATACTGTGGATGCCAGAAATTTGAAACAAATGCAGAAAATACTGGAACTCAGCTAATCTGGCAGATTCTGTGGAAAGCAAAACAGTTAACATTTTGAGCCCTTAATGACTCTCCAGAAAATATTTGGAAAATGGTGTTTTATATACTTTTGGCAGAGGTGGAGTAGGAATTAGGGGAGCAGATTGTATGCAAAAGCCAAAGACATTGCTAATTAGAGTCATAGAGAGTCACAGAGATGTACAGCATGGAAATAGATCCTTTAGTCCAACTCAGATATCCTAAATTAATCTAGTCCCATTTGCCAACATTTGGCCCGTATCCTTCTAAACCCTTCCAATTCATATACCCAACCAGATACCTTTGAAATGTTGTAATAGGACCAGCCTCCACCACTTCTGGCAGTTCATTCCATATATGCACCACCCTTTGCGTGAAAAACGTGCCCCTTAGGTCCCTTTTGAATCTTTCTCCTCTCACTGTACACCCATGCCCTCTAGTTTTGGACTCCCCTACTCTTGGGAAAAGACCTTGACTATTCACCCTATCCATGCCCCTCATGATTTTATAAACCTCTTTCAGGTCACCCCTCAGCCTCTGATGTGCTAAAGAAAATAGCCCCAGCCTATGTCCCTATAGCTCAAACCTGGCAACATCTTTGTAAATCTTTTCTGAACCCTTTCAAGTTTAACAACATCTTTCCTATAGCCAGGAGACCAGAAGTGAACACAGTATTCCAATTGTGGTGGAAGAGAAACAGAGATAAAATGTACGTAAATTAAGATGTGAAAGGTAGAAAATAGGCCCTCTCTACTGTCAGCAATGTAAACAAGACACAAACAAGGCTATGGGGGTCAGTGGGGGAATATAAGGAAAATGGAGGCTGTGTTTGAAGTAGTGGATTTCAATATTGAATTCTAGAGGCTGTGAAGTTCCTTGAGCTCGTGTTATGCTGTGTTACAATATTGCAGCAGGCTCAGGACAGAAATGAGAGCATGAGAGCAACTTGGTTGAAATAACATATGTTCCACATGGAACAGCTGGAAGGCTTTACAGAAGATTATGTCAACTGACGTAATGGCGTAACTTGCAAACAGCCTTATAACGCATGGGTATTCCCCCACCCAAGACTTTAATAGTTCAGAGACAATATGCAGGCATTGATAGATTTTCCTGCCTAACGTGAAAAGGGAAATCATATGTTTTTTATGAATGTGTGGTTTCCACCACAAATATAGTCCAAATTTCAACACCACAGCTGCCACACTGACTTACTGGCTACAGGTAAAAAAGTGTGGTCACAAGAGTGCCAAGCAGCTTTTGAAAGGTTGAAAGCCATCTTAATAAACAGCATGGTGTTTGTCGCCCAGAATTTCAGGAAGCCTTCATGGTTGCTATTGATGCTTGTGACTTGCATGTAGGTGCTGACCTGCTCCAAATAGGTTGGACATAGACAAATGTGATACTTCTCTAAAAAGTGAAATCAACACAAAAAGAGATATTTCAATGCAGAGAAAGGAAACCTACTATTTCCAGTTTTTAAACTCTACATGTTTGCCTCAAAGATAGCAGATTCTAATAATATACTATTAATGCTATTTTATTCAACTTTCCTGGAATGTCTCTCTTAAAGTGCTGTCACACCTGCTGAATATTTCAAGTATTTTCTGCTTTTATAGACATTGCTCCAACTAAGGTGTTATCAGTGATTGTGGAATACCTACTTTCTCACAAATAATTTAGTTTACTCATTCCAGTTGTAAAACACTGTTTACATTAGAATGACAACTGCCAATCAGCCTATGAATACAATTTTATTGTAGAACAATTTTTGTTAGCAACAATCCTGTATTTTATACAAACATCGGACTGGTCAGTATGAATTAAGATCCATGCTGAAGCAACAGAACCTCAATGAAGATTTAGTTTCATTATTCTCACGTGGAATTTTAATCATAACTCCTTAATTTTCGGTATAAATAGATAATCCCAGAGATGTATGTAGAACCTTGTTCAGCTTCAGTTGTTGCTTTTTCCCAATGTTCTATTTCTTGCACTGTAACTCTTTCCCACAATCTGTTCTGTTCCATTTCCTCTATTACAGCCTGTAGTTGTTTTTTGTAGAGTCGGTTTGAGGTATTGTTTCGGGTTGTCATGCACACAAAGCCCCCTGAAGAACAGAAAACAAATTTAAAGGGCAGGACTTTCCACACCTAAGGAGAAAAGAACAATGTGCATGTGAACTCATTCCAGAGACAGTCAAGAGTCAGAATCTTGCTGTCAAGCTGAACTTCAGTAACTAAGTTCTTCGATTTTAAAAGCAGGGTCGCCAGCAGGTGTTCAGAAACTTATTGACATGCATCAGCAGCACAACTCACTGGAATTAAGCTGGCTGCCCAAATAAATTCTGCCCAATTGAGCAATGCAAAGTGTAAGACACACGGCCACATACTGCAGGCATGTTCCTGGTGACATGTATTTCTTCCTGAAGTTCAGGGTTAAGTACATTCTGCTTTGACCTCATAGTTATTCAATTTTAAAATAATGCATCCATTAAGTTGCATTGTGAGCTCTCTAAATACTGTCAAGCCCTCAATGAGAAGGAAGGCTGGCTGTGTTCCCTGTCCATCTTAAAGCACTGGCTAACAAAAAAGAGAGCAGTTTGTGCCTGAAGTGCATGGCAAATTTGGGATGCGAGTGGCTAAAGGCCAAATACTGCATAAACTGCAAGGGGAGGGGGGATAGGTAGCTGAAGGGCTGAATTGTCTAAGTGGCAAAAAGTGGGGTGAGTGTGGCTGAAAAGCACAGAACTTCATAACTAGCAAAGCAAGGTAGTTGTGGTAGCACAGCATTTAACTTTGTAAGCAGAAAAAGGAAGCAAAGGTTATTAGGGCAAGAGTGATATCCAGTCAGTCAGGCGTCAATCCAGGGACAGTTTGTCTGGATAGTCAAACCCAGGATAATATACAGTATATTCAATCCATCACTCCTTCTCGTGTCAGTGACTTTGTCTGGTGTTATTATGTAATGGAGGAAATAATTACAGTTGGATATGACAGGGTAGGGCTCTGAAGAGGAGGGTCGAGGAGTATATGGTCTCCTAGGGTTGAATTGGTTTCCATCGGGGGAGGGTAGACGATCAGCACAGGCATTACAACTAGGATTGTGAGGGGTCCTACAGGCAATTCAGAGCCATTGGATTAGGAGAAACAGGGCCAACTGCAAGGTGTTAGGGAACGGGGTAACGGGTATGCTTGAACAGAGCACTGTGCAGCCAAATAATGAATCGCAGTAACTTGAAAACAGAAACTGGAAAATAACTGTGTAACTCTCCTGTGATTTCAAAAAGGCTATAGCCAAAGTGGAAACAGTCCATTTTTGGGGCGACCGGTGTGATATAGCTTCAAGTATTTCCCATCTGAAGGCACACCTGAATAACCATGAGTTCAGTAGATGAGAACCATTGTCAACTGCTTTCAAATCCTTTGTAACTAACATAACAAGATAGCCTATTGTCTCACATTTTAATGAAGTCTTACGAAGTCATAGAGCCAAAGCTTACAGTGCCCTGACTGCTATCTCATTATGTCTGAGGTATACATAAAGCATTGGGCAAGGAATACACTGTCAATCCATAAGCTACCTGTGGGCACAGCCAATCATTACAAAGACTGCAAGCTCACACATCCCAGCTAGAAGTTCCAGTCAAAAAAGGGAAAGGTGGCAGGAAAAGTGAGAGGTAAGTTGCTGCTGGCTGTTCCATTATACCAAAACAAGATTTGAAGGGTTCTGCTACCACCTCTCTTAAAAAAATACAACTATTACAAATAGGGAGGTGCAACAGTTAAGTACCCCAGAAAATGTACTCTACCTCCGTGCACCTGTATGTTTGATCACAAGGAGTTGTTCTTGAAGTCACAGAGGACACTGCTTTCCATGTTCCATGCTGGTTGGGAGGAGACTAGGTAGGAAAGCTAGCTAGCTGAAAGATTTACCTCAGGCACAGCGGTGAAGGTTAGCAAGGCAGAAGTCAAAGGAAAAGAAGACTATGTGCATACAATTATAGATTTAAGAATTTAAATAATCTTTGCAGATCTCCTGAAACTGACAAGTGAATGACACAGATCAACCCTTTTATTCCTCTGATCACATTGCAGTTAATGAGGAACTAGAGGGTAAAGGTTGCTGCAGCAGCAGTTAATGGCTGAAGTCCTGCTTGCCGAGTCATACCATACAGGAACATCATGTGAAATACAGGTGAGAGGTGGCCCAAAACTGCATTTACGTGCTTTAATGCAGCTATCTGCAACCGAGAGACAGGCAAAGTCGAAGCTTCCTCAGTATGTCCCAGGGCCAGTGCATTCTGCATCTGCAAGCTGCTGGCCACTCCAGTTGTCTTGAATGTAACAGTGGCCTGCAATTTCTATGCAAGTTGATTATTTTAGGGAACCACTGGAGACCTCTGCAAAAGATATGTGGGAGGCCACTCACAAATGTATCTGCAAAGTGACTGATGCTCTCTTCGCTAAAGCATACCAATTTATTCATTTCCCTTTGGATGCAAGGAGACAGACAACCAGAGCAGTCTGCTTCACTGCTGTTGCAGGATTTCTACAGGTACAGTCCATTGCACCCATTTGGTATTCGGAGTGCCCTATCAGCAAACAGCAGCCTTCATCAATAGAAAAGGGTTCCACTCCCTGAATCTATAGACCACCTGTGACGACACCAGTCAAATAACAAAGGTTTGCATGATATACAGAGAGCTGTCACTACTTTTACATTATGGAATACTCACAGGTGCCTGCAGCATTCAATACCACTTGGTGCATGCAGATTGTTTGGAGACAAAGTCTACCACCTCAGGACATGGCGGATGATATCTGTCAGGAATCCTCAAACTAAGGAGACGTACAACGTCGCACATGCTTCTATGAGAGCTTTTGAAAATGAAATTCAGATGCCTGGCCCAGTCAGACAGTGCAGCACAGTATACTCCAGAATCCTGCATTATAGTGGCTCACTGGAGTCTCCACAAAATCCCTATACAAAGTGGGATGTCTTGGGAGAAGAAAAGATACACGAGTGAGAGTAAACCCCTGATGATGAAAGTGAAAATCATGACATGAGTCAGGAGGTTGCTCACAGATAGGAGTACATGGTTAACTTCTGACAAGGCACAGAAGCCCACATCAACCTTGCAACCAATCACAGCCAGGGTGAATAAACTTCATGGACATATTTCTTTTTGTGGCTGGGAAGTTCAAAATGTATGTACGGGAAGGCTGCACTAACAGGCAAGATGTCACATATTCAAGTTTCAATCAAAGTCTGAGTGACAATGCAATCCATTATAATAACATGACAAATGACAGTAGCTTTATCTGCGAATGAATCCATATTCTGGAAGAAAATGCAAGAGGGATGAGACCGTGACCTCTGGGAGAGACCAAAACAGTTATTATGGTGAGTGAGATGGGAAAGTAGTTGGAGAAGTTGGCTCCCAGTAGTCATGCTAAGTGAGAGGCTTGATTATATCGGCAAATAAGGCAGTCAGTGATGCTACTTGTGAAGGAGGATCAATGGATTTTCCAACAGGTATGAGGGTAAAGTTTATTCAAAATGGATTCAAGTTTGAGGTAGCAGAGAGTAAAAAAAGGAGGTGCAATAATCAGGCAGAAATTGGGCTACTACATTAAAGGTACAAAAATATTATCAAAATATCTCCTTAGCCTGTCTTTAGACTGACGCTGTTGTTAGAAGCAGAGTCAAACTGATTCATACTGACAACAGCTTGGTTCATCAGCAGTGCATTGAATGACCAGAAACCGTTAATAAATCTCAATTACCACTGCACTTCAAGTCACCAGAAATGACATACTTTTCTTCTCTGATAAGCATAATATTTTGGAACAAACATCTAGATGCAGTCACTATGCTTTTGAAAAGAGCAAAAAGAAGGTTACTATTTTATTGTGTTCCTCCAGCTCCATATTGTGTTATTACTATTTTATTAGCAGCCTTCCTAATATTGTTGCATCACTTAGTTTAGTTACTGTCTGCAATTCTATCGATGATACTGTCTGCTCGGTGATACGTTAGCAATAGGAAACTCAATTCAAGATAAGTGAAATATCTGCTGAATGTTAATATGCTTGTAGCACAGGTTAGGTCCAGATCAGCTTGACAGTGACTGTCTCAGGACGTATCAGATGTTGCTTGACTGAATCTGGTTTGTGGAGGTTAAACATACAAATTCAGTGTTACACTAAGCACTTGGAAAATTAAGGGAAGATTGTATTAAGTCATGCCACATCTCTGTACTTAATCAATCCCAAGTCATTTACATTTATCTTCTATAGAACCATTCAGGTTTAGCAAAAGACCTGAAACTTTCTTAAAAACCGAAAGAACTGTGGATGCTGTAAATCAGGAACAAAAACAGAAGTTGCTGAAAAAGCTCTGCAGGTCTGGTAGCATCTGCGAAGAAAAAAACGTTTTGGGTCTGGTGACCCTTCCTCAAAACTTTCTTACCCGTTTTGGTAACACGATGGAGTTCAGGAAGGATGGCAGGTGGCACCTGCCCTCCACTTAATGCCCCAACAATCACAACAGCATCATAACTGTCTGAAACAGAATTAAAACATAAATTTAACATAAATTCAGATTAACATCTGCAAAATCTGACCTTGTACTACTGAGGAAATAATTTCCTTTCTTGTTTAGTTTTGCAATACAAATTAAATCAGGAGTGCTAGAAAGTAGAGACAGAAAAAGGAGGGGAATGTGATGTTTTAGTACTACTTACAATATGTTAGTTTTTCATATCTGCTTAAGAATGGATGAGGTCTCTGTGGTGTAGTGGGAAGGGTCCCTACATCTGAGCCAAAAGCAGTAGATTGAAGACCCACTCTAGGATGTAAGTGAGATGGGACTGGACAAGTGGAGAAAAAAAGGAGTCGAGAGGAAGAAACAAGTTCCATGGACAGGAACAGACAGGAACAATGAGTCTGCTCGGGCAGTCCCTCGGATTTAGTGATGAAGGTGGAAGCTTGGAGCCTAGGGAGAGGAGATTCCCAGATAAATTGAGATTAGAAACCCATGTAGACACAAAAGACTGATGAATGATGGTGGAAACCAGGCCCGGGGGAGACAGGAGGGGGTGTCCAAGAACTGGCACTCAGCTTCCACAATGAAGTGATCAGTATGCCAGACAACAGCAGCACCATCCTTGTTGACAGGCTTGATTACAAAGTCAGGGTTGGATTTGAGCATGGATGCAGTCAGATTAGAAGGAGATAGGTTCAAATTTTTGGTTTTAATAATCTTTATATTCAAGCTTATGAATGTTATGTGATCACAGAGGCAACATAAAGAGTGAAATCTAGCTCCGCTTGACATTGACATGGGCATAAAATTATTAGGCCATTGATTTTTTAATTACATAGGCTAATGCTGAGGTCAACTGAAACCTTCCTATTCTTGCCCTGGATTGACCTGAAGTCGAATTGCAGATTTTTTGAAATGTATGAATACCATGAACGATCATTCTACTATGTTTCATACTTTGTACCAAGAACATAAGAAATTAGAGCATCAGTAGTTCATTTGGTCCTTTGAATCAGCTTCATCGTAAGATCATGTTCCTTTAGCACTGCAAAATCTAGGCAATGATCGAATTAGAGAATTATATTAGGAACATGGTCAAAGAACAAAATATTGCCAGTCTCAGATAAATATATATGGCTTTTGGTTTTCAGTTACCTGAAGATGCTGGAAGCAACTCAGAGTCCAGCATACATTTCTGAAGTGTTTGGTATATCGATTTGCACCGTGCCAATTCCAACATTCCTTCACTGCCATCCACTCCATGAAAGTTATGAAAACCAAATCTTTGCAGCTAGACAAAATAAGCCTCGTAAGAAATTAGTTACACAACTTGCACTAAATCCAAATAGCAATGTTTACAGCCTGTTGAATAGAATTTGGTGACAAATATATCCTGCATCACACCAAAGTTCTTCATTTATATACAGATGAAGTACTGTGATAAAACAGGCTTTTCAACACAACATACATGTAGAAAAAAAAAGTTGTATTTATATAGCCTGTTCAATGACTTCATGTCCCAAAGTGTCTTACAAGTAAGTCATTCTTTTGATTAGCCACTCCATTAACCTATTTACACATAGCAAAGTCAAAAGTGGTGTTTGTCAGAAGAGGGAGAAGAGTCAAATCTACCACTTCGTAAATTTTCTATGCCACTGAATAAACTATTAGTCACATTCTGCCCACTACACAAGATTTAAGAAAGCAGCTGTCAGTTAACATTGTTATCTGGCTATTAAGTTGCACGTAAGTCAGAACTGATGTAATTGTGATGAAGTTGTGTGTTCTCTGATGAAATAATGGTGAGGAAACTCACGGTTCAGTCTGAAAAAGTAGGCTTAAAATGATATGAATCCCATGGTTAGGCAACTGTTATTGTCCAGGAGGAAATTCTGCCCATTGTGCCTGAACTGACTCTTCGAAAGAGCATTACCTCGTGATCGCATGAGGCAGAAGGTTCCTAGAGAAAAAAGACTGGAAAATGCAGAGGACCTTGGGGTACTTGAATATAGATTACTGGAATTTAACGGGTTAGACAGTGAACATAACTGAAAGGGCAAACGGGATACTTTTTTCAATTAACATAAGCATAGAATATAAAGAGTTTAAGAGAAACTTATACATGCACTTTGAAGTGTTATAACTGCCAAGGATACAACCGAGTGTTGGAAAGTAAGACTAGGCCAGATAGTCCTTTTTGGCAATGCAGACACTATTTGCTGATTGGTCTGCTGTGGACCTGAGAGTTTCTATGATTCTACCTTTCTCTGATGCTGAGACACCAGCCCATTTATCAAAGTGGTTTTCAAACTTTTGTGAAGGGACCATTTTCAAAACACTAAAACATTCCTGTTCAAAACAGTGTGCCAGACAAAAAAAAAACAGTACTTCCATTGAAGATTTCTTTGTATAAATGTTCAACAACTTGCACCTACACATGGCCTTTATCATAGGAAAATGTCACAACGTGATTCAAATATTCAAAACCAGACTAATAAGATATTATTGAAAAAAGTACAACTTTTTGCAGCTTTTTATCTTTCACTCATCAGATCAATTAACAAATATGCAACGTGCAAATTTCTTCCTTTTTTTTGTTTGATCCAGTCAGGTCGCTTTGTTGCTTCCTACCATAACAATAAGCGTTAAAGCATACCTGCACTTTAAATTCACAAGTGTTTTGGAAACTAACGATGCTCCTAAATGCATAGCAAATCACTCTGTCCTTGTAGTCTTTGAAAACACGGAGATTGTTCTTACACATGGTTTTAATTTTGGTGAGTCTTCATCTCACAAACAGGATGAGGTATTGGCTGAATCTGGACTCCCCTATCACCAGCTTTCTTGTCCAAAAATCAGTATTCACTAAAGAAAATGATACTTGAAAGCATAATATGGGATTCTGAATGACTTGTCCAATTTTCACATGCAACATGAACATGTAGCAGCATCGTGAGGACTCAAGGCCAATATGTACATTTGTATCAGCAAGCTAGCCAAAGTGACTGGAAAGGTAATCCTTAACAAGCATGACGACGTCAACAAAATACACACCATTCTTAATGACAGATCCAAATTTGTATCCATTAGACCTGCTGCTTGGGATGACTGGACAGCCTTAATTGAAAGCAAGCTAAAAAAGTGTTTGCTGGACTTGTGGTACAACAACATGCTGCCAGGTGTGTACATGATGTGTTTCACCCCCATGGCTTCCAGCTTCCGTGAATGTATGGGCTATCAAGACACACAAAAGTGATGTTGCTTTACATCTTATCTCATCAATGAGCAGGTGTGCACAACATGAATTGGTCAAGTGGTTTAGTAGCTTGCTACAGCCAATTGTGAACACGTTTTCCTCTTAGACTGTGAAAGATTCCCTTATATTTACGAAGACCATGTAGGGCTTGCAATATGCCAAGTTGGGTCCATATGCTCAAAAGACATTGCTAGCCTATTCAGTAATGTAGTATTCAAGGAAGCCATTGTCATCTGCATTGCTGCACTATACCATGGCAATCTTGACCCACAATAATTGCATGAATCAATATTCTTTGAACATATGAATGCAACAACTTGTGCAGATGGTGTTGACATGGAATCCTCACTATTCCCAGCTCTCGCGATATCTTTGCTAGATTCTATGACAGATGTGTCTTCAATAGAATGACACCTAAATCTCCTATCCCTTGCATATTTCCAATATGAAGATGATATGCTTGCTATATCTGAAAGTTCAGCTGAATGTAGAATTTCCTTAAATGTCTTAATGGGTTGTATTCTGTAGTAAAATGCATGTTTGAAGTGTAACAATCAAATGAGCTCCCTGCTCTTGATATCCCAGTTGAGAAATTAGCTACGCGTTCTCTGCTACCATCTACTGCAAACCTACCTTCCCGCATACACACATTGGAATTCCAAAAGTGCCACACACTACATAATTTTCCTTATAAGCAACCTCATAAATAGGGACAGGGCCATTTGTTCACATGCAGGTCTGATGGTGAAGTACAGCACATCAAAACCATCCTACTGCATAATGGCTATCTCTATCAGACCATTTCTCATTGTCATGCAAATACATGTTAGATCCTGAGGCAGCCATCTTGGTCCTGAATAGTGTCCAGTCTACCTCAAATTACTTTGGAAGGATTAGGTACACCAAAGTTTGAGTAACAGCTGATGCTAGCTGTTTCACACTGTTACTATGCAGAAGCAAGATGAGTGATATATGCTGCCGTCAAGCCAAAAAGAAATTTTGCCTATCACACAAATAAATAATATGGTATACGAACTTCAGTGCCAGTATAATGCCAGTATATGGTTCATATACTCCAAAGACTAGCAGTTCATATCAACAGCACATCCCTTCAACTGACCATATCCAACCAACCTGTACTTGAAAACCTTGCAACAGTAATATTAGATGTGATTCTGCAATTGGACATCTTTGGCCGAGTGTAGGACAACCAATTTAGAATTGTCAGTCTAGCATGCAATGTGATATACTTGTGTATACTGGAAGCTGCCTGTACTAATAAACAGGACCAGTTTGTTACAGAAGAAAGAAGATATGTATACACTGTGTCTAATTCAACATTGCAAAATAGGCAACAGCCATTCGCTGGTTCATTTCTCAGGGCAATGCCCTGATCAGAGTCAATCTGGAGTTGTTGGCTGGTTTGCCCAGCTGACTGGCTTTAGTGCAAACATTTCATCCCCTTCTAGGTTCAACGGAGGCTAGACAACACTGAAGATGTCACCTAAAAGGGGGACAAAACGTTTGCACAAAAACCAATGAGCTTTGCGAACCAACCAACAACTCCAGCCACAGCTCGAGCTACAGATCTTCTCTAAAACAAAGTCAATCTACCTGGTTTAAAATGTAAACAGAACCTGCCAGGTATTGAATTGAAATGAATTGAATTGAATTAGCTTTATTGTCACATGTACTCAAATGAGTACAATGAAAAGTTGATAAGTCACCACTTACAGCGCCTTCTTAGGTACAAAGGCATATAGATATAGCTTCTTCAGTTACAAGATTAGTTACAGTATAACAATGTCACTAACACATGGCACCATCCTAGGTAGAGAGTACCTCGGTACAATCCTTAGTTACAGAATAGAGAAATGAAGAAAAAGAGTTATATTGCAGCTATACACAGTTTAAACGTAGGTCAGAAAAACAATAAGTTAAAAAGACAAGACAAAGTAATCGTCAATCGTTAATTGGTACATTCCCTGGACTAATGATGCTACCAATCAGGGTCCACTTGGCAACCAATCACCATCCTCCTCACATGCAGCATAAGTGCTAGTTTACTTTTCATTTGTATTCTTGCAATTGTCCTGATGGGCATAAGATGAAAGGATTCAACAAAGTGTGTCTCTCTTCAGCAATCATGTTCTTGTAATACCAAACAATTAACTAAGAAGATATCAAGATTGGTGACTAGTAAAGTCTCAAAGGAGGAGAGCATAGTAGAGAAATTTAGATATGGAGTTTAAAGTTTTAGCAAAGATTTGTAGCTTGGGTTGTGGGTGAGGTTGTTGACTTGCTCACCGAGCTGCCTGGTTTTCGTTCAGATGTTTCATCACCACGCTAGGTAACATTTTTAGTGGAACCTCCGATGAAGCAATGTTGTTCTACTCCGCTTGGAATTTATACTGTCCGGTCTGTTATGGTGTGTAGTTTATTTCCGGTTTTGTTCTGTATGTGTTTGCATATGGGGTTCAATTCTATATGTTTGTTGATTGCCTTATGAGTTGAGAACCATGCCTCTAGGAATTCCTGTGTGTGTCTATGTTTGGCTTGGGCTACTATAGTGACGTTGTCCCAGTTAAACCGATGACTTTCATTGTCCGAGTATACTGATATTAAGGAAAGTTTGTCGTATCGTTTTGCTGCTAGATGATGTTCATGTATTCTGATGGCTAGTTTCCCTCCTGTCTATGCGATGTAATGTTTGTGGCAGTCGTTGCATGGTATTTTGTAAACTATGTTGGTTCTGCATGTTGTGGGTATGGGATCTTTAATCCTCGTGAGTGTTTGTCATAGTGTGGCTGTGGGCTTGTGTGCTACCATGATTCCGAGTGGTCTTAGGAGTCTTGTTAGTTCTAATATGTTCTTGATGTAGGGCAGTGTGGCCATTGTGTTAGGGTGTACGGTGTCCTCTTGTTGTTGTCTATTTAGTAGGCAGCTGTGGATGAAGTTGCGGGGTTATTGTTCATAGCGAAGATTTTGTATAGGTGCTCCTCCTCTTTCCTGTGTAGGTTACAAAATACCATGCATCAACTGCCACAAACATTACATCGTTCAGACAGGAAGGAAACTAGCCATCAGAATACAGGAACATCAGCTCGCAGCAAAACTACACGGCAAACTTTTATTAATAAAAGTACGCTCGGACAATGAAGGCCATCAGTTTAACTGGGACAATGTCACTCTAGTAGCCCAAGCCAAACATATTCCTAGAGGCATGGTTCTCAACCCATAAGGCAATCAACAAACATATAAAATTGGACCCCACATACAAACCCATAAAGCACAAAGCTGGAAATGACACTACTCACCATAATGAATTGGACAGTATAAATTCCAAATGGAGTAGAACAACATTGCTTCATTGGAGGCCTCACTGATGATGTTACCTAGCGTGGTGACGAAACATCTGAATGAAAACAAGCTAGCTTGGCAAGCAAGTCAACAACCTTAGATATGGAGTGACAAAGTCTAGGGTCTTTAATATTCAAAGCTCACCTACAAATACTGTGTTAAATGGAATGAGGAATGAAGATTTAGAAGAATGCAAAGTTCCCATCAGGTTGTAAGCTTGGAGAAGGTTGGAGAAAAACGAAAAGTAGAAATGACAGAAAGATTTGAAGGTGAAGATTGATGGATGTAATGCCCATATACATGAGCACAGATGATGAGTCAGTGGAACCTCATTGATTAAAACTGGGCATGTTATATATTATATTCTTTTATATATACATGTATGGCATGATTGGAATGGCATTGGTTGAATGGAATGGAATTGGGAGAGGTGAATGAAACAGAATTAATAAAGTGTTTCAATTTGCCTGCAAATGTTTACAGGAATGATGGAATGGTATGGGATAGAGAACAGAGGCACAATATGAAAAGGATGAAATGACATGGAGATAACATGAGAGGGCTGGATGTACTAATTAAATTGGTTAAAATATACTAATTTGATTGCAAATGTTTTGCAGGAAAACACAAATATGTTAATGAGTCAAAAAGCCAGAAACCTAATGCCTTGAACAATCCTTCCTAACATCCGATGGCTACAGTTTGAAAACTTTTATTACAGATTTGCTTTGAACTGAAAATCAGAAGCAACCAGGTAATATATAACGAACTTTTTCTAAAACTCTAAATATATTGAGAGCTATAGTACTGCTTACAATTTACAACCTGTTTAGCAACTAGTCCAGTTCCACAGGCAACATCCAGGACCAAAACTTTGTCACGATTTTCATGAATTACTGCTGCCAGACTTTCTGCAGCCAGAACTGGAGCACGATAATCCAGAATCATCACATCCTGCAGCAGAAACAAATGAAAAAAGATGTAGTAATTACAACACTGTACAGATTCAGACAGATTTGGCCTTTCAGATTTCACCAAATGACCATTATGGCATTTTTTAAAATAAGCAGAGTCTACCCTTCCCTAACAAATGATTTCTGCTAATTCCATTCTATGAATCCAAATATTTGTCCTTTATAACACTGAACCAAGGCTGTTTATCAGATTTACTTTCTCTAACCTGCTATGCTTTTTATACAACTCACAGGTCCACATAACTGTTCTTTCTCAACGCAGGATGAGACCACACCTGGAGTACCATGTTTGGTTTTGGTCTCATTACCAAATGACAGGAGTACAAAAAATGTTCACAACTGATCCTTGGGATATGGGATTGTCCAATGAAAGGCTGAGTGTTGCATCTATATAATCTAGAACGGAGACCATTAAGAGACAGATCTCATTGAAACATAGAGAATTCTTAATAGGCTTGTTAGGGTAGATACTAGGAAGGTGCTTCTCCTGACCAGAGAATTGAGAGCTTGGGATAAGAGTCCCAAAACGTAAAGTTTAGGACTGAGATGAGGAGTAATTTCTTTACTCACAAGGTTGTGAATCTTTGGAATTCTCTATCACAGAGAGCGTTGAGTACTCAGTGTTAAGTCCAAGGGAACCAATGGATAATGGATAGTGTGGAAATTGGAAGCCAGGGTAAAAGATTACCCTTGATCTTACTAAATTGTATAGTGGGCTCAGGAAATCAAATGCCAACTCTTGCCCTTGTTTATGCTTTTATGATTCCCTTTCTTGTTAAGTCACACTTGTCCCTTTGTTGCTTTACCTGTTCATAGAGTTCAGACCAACTATCATAAAATGACATTTTATCTTCAGTCGTGGATTCCTTATGAGCAGAGAGAACAGTTCCCTGTACATCTGTAAATGTTCTTCGATTGGCTGCCATTCTGAAGATAAAACAGAGAGCTGTTCAGAAACTGTTCTTTCATTTCAGCTTCCATGAACCAAGCATTTAATTAAGAGATGACAAGGTGTAGAGCTGGATGAACACAGCAGGCCAAGCAGCATCATAGGAGCAGGAACATAGAATATAGAACATAGAACATTACAGCGCAGTACAGGCCCTTCGGCCCTCGATGTTGCGCCGACCTTTGAAACCAATCTGAAGCCCATCTAACCTAAACTATTCCATTATCATCCATATGTTTATCTAATGACCATTTAAAAGGCTGACGTTTCGGGCCTAGGCCGTCTAGACCTGAAACGTCAGCCTTCCTGCTCGGCCTGCTGTGTTCATCCAGCTCTACACCTTGTTATCTCAGATTCTCCAGCATCTGCAGTTCCTACTATCTCTGAAGCAATTTAATTAAAATGAGGTTATGTACATAATACTAACAGTTGAGTGCTGCCAAATGAAGATCATTTTGCACTGAAATTTATTCAGTGACAGACCACACAATGCAGTCAAATCTCAGTAATTCTCACATTTCAAATATTCAAACTTGAGAATAGTATTTATTCACTACTGAAAAACAAATAAAATTTATTAAAAGCCCACATGTTGACTTGAAAAACACGAATGTCTCCAGAACAGCTCAGATTTATATAAAAATAAAAATAAATCAAACAAACAGAAAATAAAAATGAGCTGTGGAGAACATGAAATTTGTACTTCCAATTAGAATACTTTGTATTTCAACATATTGTAGCAAACAAAGTCTGTTAATGACAAAATTACTTACAAAATATTCTTGACATTTCAGAACTGCAGATATTGGGAAAAGGGGCAATACAGAAGAAACTGATCTGAACACTGTGTAAAATCAACCAAATGCAATTTGAAATAAACTGGACGGTCAAGCAGAATGACTGATAACACATGGTCAAACATTTCATCAGGAAAACACGTAAGACTAAAAACATAGTGGCTGGAAAGCACAATGGTATATTAGAAACAGGATATTTATTTTGGAGAAGCAGTTCATCACATCTCGGATAGCGCAACTTTATTTGTACACAGATTGTAGGAACTGCAGATGCTGGAG